AACTCGACGAGCTCTTGCTCCTCGGGGACGATGAACACGTAGCCTTGTCCCTGGATGGGATCCTCGCGCAGAACGTCAGCCAACTCATCTAAGGTCATTCCAGGAATGTCAGGAGCGAGGTTGGCGTGGGCCTTGATGCAGCGGGCGATCATGGACTGCGATCGACCCAGCGCATGGGCGATTTGGCGGGTCGTCCAGATTCGCTCGGCGGAGGCTCCCGGAGCTCCGCCGACATCCGTAGTGGATAGGAACGGGTCAAAATAGTATAGTTTGAGGGCGGTGGCCTTCGTCAGGAGCCTCTGGCGGAAGGGAGACGCGGTCGCAATCTGGGCGAGGCCGACCTCAAGTTGCTCCTGCGCCCGTCTGACCATGTCTTCCTTGTAGCTGGAATGAGTGTTCATTGATATTCGAAGACGGCGGCGGGGTGGGAGGAATACAAGCCGAGATAATCGGGTTTGAGTCTTTTTAGGGTGGGGGCGCAATGGTTTTTGGACTGAGTCTTTTTAGGGAGGCCCTCTCTACGCCTAAATCCTTACGGGTTCCATAATGAATGGTAAAATGGCAATCGTGAGATATCACCATAATCGACCCACCATTGTGATCGACTTGATGTGGCCAATAATAGTGTCAGAGGAGTGGCGGTGCTCAGATGAGCGGTTTTCTCAGAAAATCGAAAAATAAAAATGGCCTCGTGAAGGCCGTAAAACAGCGCCACAAGCCTTCTTCCAGGACCAGTGCAGCAGAGCATCATAATCTTTGCTCAACTTTGCACCCCCGCATTTTCGAGATCGAGCACACCGACTGCATAGGGTGCATCGCGTACTATCACGGCGAGGAAGCGCGCAGGACAGAAACTCTGTTTTGACCCCAGAAGAACGCCACAACGCCGGTCGCCCTCGCCGGGCTCGATTTCCGACGTGTCCAGTCGGTGTCGGACCGCGCACTTTTCAGGGGTGATTACAGATGATATTTACAACCGTTTTGGCTCAATGGCGGGGCGATCGCGGTGGGGAGCGATTTTGTGTGAAGCTGGATCTTTACCACTTTGGGCTGGATTGAGCCACTCTTTTCTGTTGTTCTTCAGAGCCATAGGTCTCGGGTCGATTCTTGTACTTTTCCGTCCTCACGAGACCGACCAGACCTGCAACACACACACACACACGTCAAGCAATTCATCCAAGCATAAGAGCCCGACGCACAAGAGCCAGCGAGCGCACGAGGCGAGATGGAGGAGGACGAGGAGATCCAGTCGCAACCAAGCTACGAGACATGCAGTGTGCGGCTGGTGGTCCTTCACGACCTCGTTCCCGACGCCAGCCAGGATCGCTTCATGGATCTGGATGTACCTGTTGCCCAGCCAGAGGCGCTGCCAACGTACGGCGATGTGGAGCGAGCCTTGCAGACCCATGACTTTAGAGAAGTTGCCTTCCGCCCAAACCCTCAGTTCTGGTTTCCAGTCGTTGGCGTCAAGAACAAGTTCTACCCGTCAAACAAGACAATTGCACGCCCCGAATGCGTTCATCTTTCTGTCAGGTTGCGCTGCCCCTGTTGCAAATCCAACGTCCCGCGGTCGCGATTTCACAGCGCGAACAAAACTTGCGATTGTCTTCCGTGCAACCCGCGTCCACCGACTTGGCCGACGACGAAACTAGCGTAATGCAAGATGATAGGGACGACATTCTTGAATTTCTTAACGACCAAGACGGGCACGACGAAAACTGCCGCTCAAGAACGCCTCGGAAGCGCAGGGGAGTCCATCTCACCAAGGAGGAGCGAGACAGGCTTCCGCAGTGGAGCCCTAGTACGACGCTCATTCCTGTTCGAACACGCCGTTGGTATTGCTTCAATAGACGCGATCCGTCGAGGCCGCCTACGACCGTGCCAGCCACACCAACTCTCCAACAACGATTTATTCGCGCCTGCTCCAGCAAGAAGCGAGTTGACAACAACTTTCAGTTACGTCCGGAGCTCGGCGCCGGATCCTGCAGTTTCGGCCTGAGATTGACGGAGCTTGGCCAACACACGCACGGCGAGCTGC